AATTATCTAACATTGTTTTGTATTTTATATGAGTAGAATAAACAAAAGTTATGCAAATTGATTTAACTTTTTTTTTTCGAATATTTTTATTTATATTGTTTTCACAATCGCCACAAAGTAAAAAAATATTGTAAAAGCAGGCAGTTTCAGGTGTGGGTGCCTATATTACCTATAATTTACAGGGTACATGATATGCATATTTAAAAATATTTGGTTCAAACAAGTAATGCTATTATTTAGATAAATACTTTAGATATATTTGCAGTTGCTTGTTTTAAATATATAAAAGTGTATATTAGGTATGATTATTGCATTAAAATTAAACTTAATTGGGTAAATTCTTAAATAATATAGAAATCTATCATCTGAGGCTAAGTTCTTCGTTATCATCAACTTCTTAGAAATCACTAATGCTATGGTTATAGCAAATTTTTAAAAATAAGAATAAACAAATTGGGAGAAGCATTACAAGATGGATATACAGGCACAGGGTAGCGGGTGGATACTTTTTTGCGATCTCAGCAGGGGATAGATCTACTTCAGCAATAGCACACCTACCCAAGCGAGCTTATGGATTTCCCCAGCCTCTCACCCCTCGGGGAAACCATGTCCAAAACCTAAAGCATTCTTATCTCCATCCTTTCCTCCACCCACTTCCAAACCAACTCTCCAACACTCACTAGCCAAGCGTGACGTTTTAAAGGCTTAAAACCCCAAAAGGTATTTTCCATTAAAGGTGAAATTACTGAATTCTCTTGTTAACTCCCCCAACCAAGGTAGCGGTTGGAACAGGTTTGGAGCAAAAGATGCTAACAATCCCCGGAAATAATCAGGCTACTACAAAGAGCGACAAATGCATGTTACTTCATACAATGTTAGAACTCTTATATCAGACCAGTAGATGATGAAGCTGAAGGAAGAACTGAAACACATAAAATGGGACATCAGACATAAAAGTGATCATTAAAGAGTATATCAGCTTATCGATTTGGAGTGCCTTTGAAGATCCATAGTGACCAAGGCAGGAACTTCGAAAGCGATCTATTCCAGGGATCTGTGATAGACTAGTCATGAAGAAAACAAGAACAGCCTATTAACCGCAATCAGATTTAATGGTAGAGCAAACGAATAAGACAGTTGGGAAGTATTTGACGAAAATGGTGTCAAATCGTCAGCGAGAGTGGAACCAATACCTTTCGTTCTTCACAATGGCCTACAGATCCGCTGTTAATGAATCAACGAGCCAAATACTATCAAAAGTGCTATTTGGACGCGAGATACGACTGCCTTGTGATCTAAAGTTTTAATGTTGACCTGGAGAAGATGTAGCTGGTGAAAATTGTGTAAACGAATTGCGTAGAAGAATGGACAATATACTGGAGTTGCTCCGTTCCCATCTTCAAATTGCTTGTGACCGAATGAAGAAACGGTACGATACCCAAGCCAAAAAAGGATGTTATAAGAAGGACCACTAATTCTAGCTCTATAATTTAAAGAAGCGAAAGGATTGTTCTCCTAAGATGCAGTAGTTATGGGAAGGTCCGTACCTCATTTTGGAGAAGATTGTTATCTACCAAATAAGCAAGATTCTGAGGGGAAAGCCGATGATACTTTACCATAACTAGCTGGCGTCATTCGAAGGTGACGACATGACGTAGATGAAGTCAAATCGTCAGCGAGAGTGGAACCAATACCTTTCGTTCTTCACAATGGCCTACAGATCCGCTGTTAATGAATCAACGAGCCAAATACTATCAAAAGTGCTATTTGGACGCGAGATACGACTGCCTTGTGATCTAAAGTTTTAATGTTGACCTGGAGAAGATGTAGCTGGTGAAAATTGTGTAAACGAATTGCGTAGAAGAATGGACAATATACTGGAGTTGCTCCGTTCCCATCTTCAAATTGCTTGCGACCGAATGAAGAAACGGTACGATACCCAAGCCAAAAAAGGATGTTATAAGAAGGACCACTAATTCTAGCTCTATAATTTAAAGAAGCGAAAGGATTGTTCTCCTAAGATGCAGTAGTTATGGGAAGGTCCGTACCTCATTTTGGAGAAGATTGTTATCTACCAAATAAGCAAGATTCTGAGGGGAAAGCCGATGATACTTTACCATAACTAGCTGGCGTCATTCGAAGGTGACGACATGACGTAGATGAAGAAAGGGAAGTAAATAAAGTCCACAAATACCTGACTTCAAGTTTCAGGAAGTCGTGGGGCCTACAGAGGAGCAAGTCATCGTGAAACCACTGAAGAAAAGCTAGACTCACGGTTCCAGGTGATAACTACTTACTGCCCGTACCATCACGGCCAGCATTAAACACGGATCAGGGTGGGCGTACGTCTTTTAAAGGAGTTTGGTCGAGTTACAAACTGCCAGCTCCCCGGAAAGCTTTGAAACCTCAAGATACATCACGTTACCCTTTTGTATCTCGTAACAAAGGACACTACCCATGACCAACCTACCTAGCAAGATGTATGAGAAGCATAACTTCAATTGAGAGGGCACGTATTGGAGTCCAACGTGCAAAAGTTAACCCTGTCAAGGCTAGAGTGCTGCCAATTAGATTTGATAGTTATCCGAAATATGGCGGAGGAGATATTTAAAGACATCGAAGTCCAGGTAATAGTCTGTCGCAATCCGCATAAATACTGATGCGGAGAGAAAACCGCGACTTGTCACTTTTATACAACTGGGAATTGTAAAAGAGGGTCCATTTGCTAATACCAGCATCTAGTTCCAGTCCCGACCAGGTTCCAGGAGGTTGGTCATAGGTAGTGTTCTTTGTTACCAGATAAAAAAGGGTAACGTAATGTATCTTGAGGTTTCAAAGCTTTTCTGGGAGCTGGCAGTTTGTAACTCGACCAAACTCCTTCAAAAGACGTACGCCAACCCTGATCCGTGTTTAATGCTGGTCGTGATGGTATGGGCCAGTAAGTAGTCATCATCTGGAACCGTGAGTCTAGCTTTTCTTCAGTGGTATCACGATGACTTGCTCCTCTGTATGCCCCACGACTTCCTTAAACTTAAAGTCAGGTATTTGTGGACTTTATTTACTTCCCTTTCTTCATCTCTTAAGGAGGAGGAAATGTTAAGCTATTCAACCCTATCTAACGGTAAACTTTTAAATTAACGGTTAAAACTCTATAAACAGTAACACCAATATGTTATGAAACTTACAGCTACTTTTAAAATTTTTTTCACATTGTAGCCAACAAATATTTGTTTGCATAAAAAATATAAAATGGGTGTGTGACAAATTAATCTGACATTGAATTTTTTAAGTTTAAGATTGTAAAAAAAAATAACCCATACAATACCTCAGATTATTCACAAAAGTGTGTCCGTCAGAGTCATAAAAAGGGTTAAAATAAGAAATGAACCAAAAAACTTTTACTAGAGGACATTTTAAAAGCTTTTTTTAATAAACTAACCAATTCTTTTTTAATAAAAGATAATGGTTTAATTATAAATTGTTATTTTACTCATATACACTACTCCAAGAAATTAACACACCATTTTTACAAAAACAAAAAAAGTGATTCATTGGTGTTTTACCGTGTATTTGGAATGGAATAAATTTGGTTTTTATCAGGTTACTTTTATTGTTTTTTGTTTCAACCGGTTTCCAAGGAACACAAAATAAAGGTGCTGTAAATTTGTTAATGTCGATAAGAGGTTAGTGTCATTTTTCAGTCGTTGTGTGAACTATTGCTATTTGGTGTTAACATTTTGCTATTGTTTTAATCAAAATGCAACGCTAATCGAGAAATTTGACTAATAAAGAGTGTGCTCAAATAGTGGTTTTGCCCGAAGAAAGTTGGAGTTACAGACATTTAGTTGAACGGTTCTCCGTACACCATACATCGGTCTCACGAATGATGGAACGGTAGAGAAAGAGCGGTTGTCATTTTAGGGTCCATGTCCATGAAGATGTTTATTATGTTCAAATCAACTGTGAAACTGTTCGCTAACGTCTGAAGGAAGGTAATTTGATAAATCGTATACCTGCTAGAGGGCCAGCCTTGACCATAGCTCATCGCAGAGCGCGTTTAGAATTTGTACGAAATCATATCCATTGATTGGAGGCTGATTGGAATAGAGTTCTGTTTACAGATGAGAGCAGATTCTGTCTTTACAATTTGATAGGCGTATTCGCTTGTACCGACGTTAGAACGAACAGTATGCACAGTGTAACATGCGAGGAACGACGTTATTCGGTGGCCGGTCAGTTATGGTCTGGGGTGGCGTTTCTTTAAATGGTCGTACAGACTTGGTGGTATTGAATAACGGTACCGTCAACCCTCACCGATATATCGTTGACGTTTTCCAAGACCACGTTGTGCCATTTGCTCCTTATATTGGCAAAAATTTTGTTCTAATGCACGACCGCCTATTGCAAATATAGTGAAAAATTATCAAGAGGAAATTGGAATCGACGCTATGGAATGGCCAGTGAATAGTGTGGATCTCAATCCTATAGAAAATGTTTGGCGCTTGCTTGGTAGACGTCTACGGAATTTTCCTAATCAACCAAACACTTTGCAGGAACTGGAACAACGTCTTGTCCAAATTTGGAATGAACTGGATCAGAATATTTTAGGACCGTTTATTTTAAGTATGAATCGTCTATGCCAAGCTGTCATTCGTAGCAGGGGTGGAAATACGTCTTATTAAGCAAAAAGAATTGAACAATTTCTATTTTTAGAATTAGAGATTTTGTTGTTAATTGTTTTAAGATTGTGGCAAGTTTATAAATATTGAAGATGGTTAACGATAACATCACTAAATATGTTTGTTTTACAAAGTAAAGTAATCTGAAATAAAATGCTTTTCATTTCAGTTAATATTTTCCTGTTATATGGTAAGTTTTAAAGTGGTGCGTTAATTTCTTGGAACAGTGAAAACAATTGTTAGATAGTAGTTACAGCGATTGTCTTGATAAATTCGCATTTCCTTAATCTATGAGTATTCACATCTTCCACATAAAAACACTTAGGTGGCCTTTGGTAGCAACTTGTCCAAGTTACTGCATAACTCGCAGCAATTTATTTTGTCTTCTGATATCTAAAAAATATACAAAAAATATATATTAGAGTTATGTAGAGTGAGTCAGTAAAAAAGTGCATTGTTATATTCAAATAGACATATGTGTATATTCTAACTCCAACCATTCTGCTCCAACAAGTGATGTCAGATGAATAAAGACCACATACCTAGACCGTACGGAAGTACGAAGTAACTTCAAAAATGTAAGTCAAAAACAGCTGTTGTCGTCGCTGTATGTGGTAACCATGTTTTCTATTTTAAGTATTTGATGTGAATTATACATATGTATAAGGGTTAGACCCAAGATCTGTGGCCTAGAGAGCCCGATCTTTGTTTTTTAATATGTTGTTTGTCCACAATTTTCCTTCTATGAAGTATTTATTGCCTAATTGACGATAGCTCTGATGATGACATTTATTATGTCGAAAGTATACTCAGCTTAATTAATCAATTATTTTACACACTATCAATTTTATTGAAAACATACAAAACCTGCTTACCAGTTAGACCGAATATTTATTCTGTCTATGATCAGTATATTTTTATTTTTTCGGCAGTGATTCCAAGTCTAAATTCTTTGCTTATCCGGCTTAACTTGTCATTAATGGCAGTCATTTCGACTTCATTTGTTGCTAATATAATAATATAAAGTTTATATTATATAGTAGTAATAAGTGTCTTTAGTGAGTTTATACAGCTCTCCGTTTCAAGGCGCAATATTTTCCGAAAATTCTCAGAGATTTTGATATAATATTGACAGCTAAAATTAAACATGCGAAAATGATTGCCCATTTTAAAGGATCGAAAGACCGTGATAAACTATTTAACTGCTATGAACAGAAAATACTAATATATATAAATAAAAATACATACGTTGGAAACTTTTTCCATTCCATTTTCATAAAACTTCTGCATTGTTGGCAGATATGCGTTAATAGGCCTTTGATTTGAGCTTGCAGAGTTAACTGTGAACTAAAACAGTAAATTTTAGCCAAAACTTCCCAATATAATCAATACAGATAGAGCAATTGAAATGAAAAACGTAATTATGAAATGTATATTACAAGTGACAGAATTTCAGAAAAAAATTGGGTCCCAAAGGTTTGAGAATGCCGTTTTTGCCGTTCCGATGCGAAATTTAATCTCTTGGGTTTGACCTAAGTCCTAATAAGTTTAATGTGTCATACGCTCAAAATACTTTTAAAAATCATACCCCGGAGAATACACAACAAACTTGAGCAGGACATAAGTGACACACAATTTGGATTTAGAAATGTACTGGGAACGAGGGAAGTTCTGTTTGCTGTGAATGTACTTGTGCAAAGGTGCATAGATGTTATTTAGGCAGTATAAATGTGTTTCTTGGATTACAACAAAGCCTTTGATAAGGTCAGATAATAACCATCTTATCGAATTACTTGAAAAGAGATATGAGAGACATTAGGATCATTAGCGCTATCTATTATAATCAGATCGCTGTGGTAGAAGATGAATGACATACATATTGAGAGCGGCGTCACGTCAGGCAGTGCTACTTTGTTTAATTTATATATAAAAGAAAAATCAAGAAAGCACTAGAAGAACTAACTATGGAAATAAATGTAAATGGCCGACTAATCAATAATATACGGTTTGCGACACTATTTTATTAGCGGAATGTTGTGAGGATTTACAACAAATGGTTGGCAGAGTGGTAGAAGACAGTGAAGTAAACGGACTGTCCCTAAATACAAAAAAGACACAATTTATGGTAATTACAAAGCCCAACAGCGCCAAGAAAACATAACAATACATGGAGAAAAAATTTAAAAAGTTGAAAAATAATAAATATCTGGGTACAATTAAACGACAATAATGAGTACATAGAATAGATTAAGGCAAGAATAGGACAGGCGAGAAATTCTTTCAACAAACTGAAAAAAGTACTCTTTTCTACAGCAGAGACATTGCAATTTCAAGACTGAAGATGCTACGTGTTCTCCGTATTATTTTATGGGTTGGAGGCTTGGACATTAAAGAAAGATGTATCGGACAGATTAGAAGCCTTTGAGTTATGGGCCTACAGAAGGATATTAAGAATAAGTTGGGTGGATATAGTCACGAATGTCGAGGTGTTAAGAAGAACGCGAAATAATAAAGATGTTTTAAATACAGGGAAGAAGGAGTCGCGGAAAAAGACGCATCTCCTGGTTAAACAATTTGAGAGCTTGGTTTAACTGCACTTCTGCTGACCTCTTAAGAGCAGCGGTATCGAAAGTGCGAATTGCCATGATGGTTGCTCACCTTCGAGGCTATGGCACATGAAGACGAAGATTGTCCTATGACTCAATGATTATTGATAGTTCCCAAGTAGTTATACTTAGACTACAAGAAAATTATTACAATACAAACCAAAAGGCACGTGAAGAAGAATAAAAGTTTTTTTATGACCACGATCAGTTAAGCGCTTTCTTCAAATCTATTAATGCTAGTTAATTCTAGTTAGTTCTTTCAAAATGTACCGTATTTTTGTTGTCTGTTTTAATGCAAAAATATAAGATTCTACATGCTTATACTTGCACAAAAGCCACAGTAGTTTAGCCAAAAAACTAATTTAAAGAAATAGTAATACTTACATTAGAAAGATTGCCGTTTCCATAGTGCTCCTCCATTCTTTGCTTATAGGTGTTAATTGCCTCTTTATTTAAATTTGCGTTTTTTAATGTGAACTACAACAGAAAATTTTAGTTAAAATTAAGTGATCAGGAAATGATTAATCTTTGAAGTTAAAAAAAGTAACAAAAGTAAAGTTACAAAAGTAATGAGACAAGCAAAAGCTTATTGGCGATGTGCAAGTACTTGGATGTGATACGATAAACGATCGTGCGCGAGTAGCGGAGAAATCTTGCATTTTTTACTGCAAATTTCATAGATTTCATAAATTCATATTGTCAATTGTCATATTTCATATTCGTTTGTTTATTTACACCTTCTTTCACTGAAGAAAATGGGATTTAGGAAATGCTGTGTTATAAATTGTAAAAATACAACAAAAAATTGTCAATTTAAGTTTTATTCGTTTCCAACTTCGAAGCACAAATTACTACAAAGAGAAAAGTGGATTTATATAATAAAAAAGCATAAGTAACATAACCTAAATTATGCATTATTCTTGCGCACGATTTTAAAGTCAGTTTGAAATAAATAATAAATGAAAGTTCACTTTTAAGTGTAAATTTTAGTTTTATAACACTCACTTTAAATTTTATTTTTTTGAAGTTTACAAAAATTAAGATATATTCGCTGTCCAAAAGTTTACAGGGAAAGAATTAATTGTTCAAACCAATATGATGATATCATAGGCTTAACCTGCTAATTTATGCATTAGCATTATTTATGGTAATTTATTTTTTTTAATTCTTCCATTCTTTTTTGACATTTGCCACTACTAAAGCTTTTCCATTTGACTCAGTGCTTGGTTGAAAAGTTATTTGGTGATTTACTTTCTCAAATCCAGTTTTTATAATTGCATCCTTATTAACCGTACCTAATGCTGTAATTAGGTAAACATAAATGGAGAGCAGCTTAGTCACCTCAGGTTCGCGGACGATATAGTCCTGATAACAGACCGCATAGATCATGCCATCGAAATGTGCGAAAGACTCTACCATGCCTCTACACAAGTGGGTTTAAAGATCAATAACTCAAAAACACAAGTGATGACAAACCTTGTTCTGAGTGAGAACATCAACATAGCTGGAACAAGTATAGAACAAACATCAGCATACAAATATCTGGGACACGAAATTCGCTTAAGTAGAGATAACCAGACCAATGAACTATTACGTAGAATAGGGTTGACATGGGCAGCTTATGGAAAGCTAAGAGATGTTTTCCAATCAGCCCTTCCCATCTGCTTAAAGAGAAAAGTCTTCGATCAATGTGTGCTGCCAGTTCTAACCTATGGTGCGGAGACGCTAACACTTACTAAGACGTCCGCAAACAAAATTCGAACAACACAGAGGGCAATGGAACGGTCCATGTTGGGATTAACCCTGAGAGACCGAATACCCAACACAGAATTGCGCCGTAGATCGGGAGTAACCGACGCAATCAAAAGAATATCAACCTTAAAATGGAACTGGGCAGGGCACGTCGCGAGAACGAAGGACGGCAGATGGACAAAACGCATTCTTGAGTGGAGACCCAGACAAGATGCCTTTAGAAATAGAGGACGACCACCAACAAGATGGACGGATGACCTGAAACGGACACATCAAAATTGGATGCAGGCGGCTCAGGACAGAAATTTGTGGGGTGAACTACGGGAGGCCTATGTTCAGCAGTGGACGAGTATGGGCTGAATGATGATGATGATGAATGCTGTAATTTAATATTATTCGCTCCGAGGTTTAACAAAGTGTCAAAGCAAAATCGACTGACCTGCTCATGGTGGCGATTGCTTGAAATTTTATCAGGACCCATTTGTGCATGGTACAATGAACATATTCATTGTACCATGGATGTTGATCATTGGTTGATCATGTATATATAACCTCACTTTCGTAGATTATGTTAATAAATCTTTATTAACGACAAAAAATATTTTTGTGGAACTATAAATGTCACTATAAATAGATAACTAATTAATTCTAAAAATTGTATCCGGATATTAACACTACAAAATAAAATATTTAAGTTTAACAAAATAATCCCATAAGACTCAATACTAAAACGTCCTCACAAATCTGGCAGCGTGTCACGTGACTGTAAATAGAGGGGAGACCCACGGAGCTAATATTTATTTGTATTTACACTACATACAACATTTACCTTTTAATAACATACCGACATAACCTCAATCTTACTTTTTCTTCTTATTCTTTTTTGGGGCTACGTCCTTGACAATTATCCGGTAACCTCGATTTATCATGAAAGCGCAGTAAATTTTGTTGATTTACGACACCAGGTGTCGCTGTTCCGAACTTGCACGGTCCCAATAATTAAGGCCCTTTTATATTATATTATATTATAAGAAAATTGTTAGCCATGGGAAAAAATTAACGTGAATACAAAAAATGCAATCGTTTAATACCTTTTAAAGCACGCAAAAAAAACGAGATATTTGACTGAATCAAAACTAATAGTCCACTATTCACAACACAGCACTCAGATGTCTGGAAGCCTTTTGTACAACACCGATTGGAAGTTTACTTTGCGAAGCAAATGGATTGTCGTTAAATGATAGAAGAGTTTACCTTAGTCTTAGTCTTTTTGCCCTTCAAAACCTTATAAAATCGAAACAACTAACAAGACGTACGAAGATACAGGTCTAAAAAACAATCATACGACCCGTTGTGATGTATGGATGCGAAACGTGGACGATAACAAAGGCAAACGAAGAGAGACTATGTGTTTGGGAAAGAAAAACTATAAGGAAGATCTTTGGTTCTCTGCTGCTTTGGGACGCTCATTACCGCAGATAGGTAAACTCATCACCAGCATTTTTGTCCAAGGCGCTGGTTTCTAATGCGGCAGACTGCCTGTTACCTGTTACACTTCTCGTTTATGGGGTATATATATATATCCCGTTTATAGCGTAATCCGCCTTTGGGTTCCCGTTCGCCAAGCCTGTCTATTCTGCCAGTCTTCTTCAAATAGATTTCTTGCTGACATGGCTTTTGAAATTCCTTGCATCCATGTTGTTGGTGGTCGTCCTCGTTTTCTTTTCTCTGGTGGTACCCATTCTAATATTTTTTTTGGTAGTCTTTCTTCCCCCATACGTCTAACATGTCCGTACCATGTCAGTTGTTGTTTTTCGATGTCTTCTATAATTGATCTTTGTACATTCATTTGATTTCTTATGTCCTCATTTCTCACATGTTCTAATCGAGACTTTCCCGCTGCTCTCCTCCAAAAATCCATTTCAACTGCCAAGAGGTTACCTTTAAGTTTTTGTGATAACTGCCATACTTCTGAGCCATACACGATTACTGGTTTCAATATTGTGTTATATATTCTTTTTTTCGTTTCCGGTCTTATATTTTTCTGCCATAGTACTGAATTCAATGCACCTATAACTCGTTTCCCTTTGGTTATTCTGTCTTTTATGGCTTCATCAGTTCTTCCTGTCTTTGTTAGTTTTACCCCCAAATATATACATTGATCGCATTTCTTAATTTTCCCGTCTTCTAAGTCGAGGTCATCTGCAGTATTTTCTCCTCCTATGCAAAGATATTGCGTTTTTTGTAAATTTACTTCGAGGCCCCATTTTTTGTACTCTTCCATTAGTTTTCTAGCCATATACTCTAGGTCTTCCTTGTCTTGGGCAATAACTACCTGGTCATCTGCATAATGCAGCGTGTATAACGTTTCATCCCCAATAGACAGCCCCATCCCTTTACACTTCTTTTTCCATTGCCTGAGTGCTTCGTCGATATATATATTAAATAGTATGGGAGATAAACAACAACCTTGCTTCAGTCCTTTTGTTACCTGAAAACCATTAGTAACCTTATTTCCTATTTTAACTTTTGATATTGTGTTGTTATATAGATCTTTAATAGCGTCGATTAGTGAAACGCTGATACTGGTTTTCTCCAATACTTCCCACAATTTCGCAACAGGCACGGTGTCATATGCTTTTGTTAAATCGACTAAAAGTAAATGCACTTCTCGAGATCTCAGTGTTCTTTTCTCGAGTATTTGGGATAAGCAAAAAATACTATCTATTGTGGATCGTCCCGCTCTGAATCCGTTTTGTTCTTCTGATTCAAAAGGACGGTATTCTTCGCATATGCGTTCTTTTATAATTCTCCCATATAATCTGCTAAGCGTACTCGTAACAGTTATACCCCGATAGTTATTGCAATCTTCCTTATTTCCTTTTTTATGGATAGATGTAATCCATCCTTCTTTCCAACTTTGTGGCACTGGTTCTCCGTGCAAGTGCCTATTGAAAACTTCTGTTAGTATCTCGAATAGTTTGTTGGTTCCATTTTTTATTAACTCTGCATATATCCCCTCTGGGCCCGGAGCACGTCCATTTTTCAACAATGATATAGCTTTTTTAGTTTCTTCGATGTTAATTGTTGGAGGCTCTCCTTGAATCAGGATTTCATGTTGTTCTATGTTTTTGAATTCCGGTCTTTCTTCTACTAACAGTGTTTTATAGTGTTTTTCCCATTTTTCGGGCTCTATGGAGTGTATGGCTATTTGTTCTGTTCTGTTGGATCTGATGTTTTTTATAAATCTCCAGGATTCTCTTGATTTGCGGCCGCCAATATACGTATCTAATTCCTGACATTTTCTCTCCCAGCTTTGATTTTTTGACTCTATTATCGTTGATTTAAATTTATTTACCATTTCTTTATATTCTCTTTTGTGTTCTTGATCCTTTGTTCCCAGCCATCTGTGATATAATTTTTGCTTTTGATCTTTCATTTCCTGTAGTTCATCATTCCACCAATTATTTGTCTTTCTGAGTTTGTTTACTCTTATTCCTAATGCTTCTTTGGCCGCTTGATGTATTCCTTTTCTTATTATGCTATGTAACTCTTCTGTTGTTTTATGTTTAAATTCCTGTGGTAGTTGTTGCTCCAATCTTTTTTTATACAATTCTCTAGTACTATCGTTGTCTAAACTTGTTAGATTATACTGCAGTTGTTCACCTTCTGCTGAGTGATTTTCATTTAGATTTTTGTTTTGTTGGTGTTTACCGTTTCCGCTTAGCGGTAGTATCATTTTAGCTTTTACTAGATGGTGGTCACTTCCACATTCGGCTCCTCGAAATACTCTTACGTCATGCACTTTTATTTTAGATTTTTGTTTCATTATTAGGTAATCAATTACTGATCTTAAGTTTCTTGTAGGCTGAGTCCATGTATATGTATGTATTTCCTTATGTTTGAAATACCCATTCATGATCCTTAGTGAGTTGTGTCTACACATTTCTATTAAGTTATTGCCATTATCGTTTGTAGTGTTTTCTCCATATGGTCCTATTGTTTTATCTTTTATTCTTCTACCAGTTCTTGCGTTGAGGTCACCTAGTATAATAGTTTCCCTTGTTTGACCTATTTGAGAGATAGTTTCATCTAGGACTTCATAGTATTTTATTTTTTCTTCTAGGCGTGCATCATCATTCGGACCGTATGTGCCTATTATTGTTATTTTTAATCCTTTCAAGTTGAGGTTGATCTTTATGATTCTTTCATTTATTGCTTGCCAGTTCGATATATTCTTTTTGTATTTCTTCAATATAAGTATTGATACTCCTCTTTTGGCATGTTCTTCCTTATTAACTCCCGTGTGTATATGTATATATCCATCAAGATTTTGGGTTCCTTGTCCTTTTTTCTTTGTTTCTGAGAGTACAGCAAAATCCATTTTATGTTTTTTCATTTCTTGGATAACATCTTCGATTTTATTTCTAATTCCTTGTGTATTCCATGTACCACAAATCAGTGTCCGTTTTCGTTGCCATTGTCGTCGTCCTTTAGTTCCATCCATATCCCGAGGCTTGGTTTCGGTATTTTTAGCATTACTATTTTTTCCAAGAATGAGTTGCTGGCCCATTGCTAAACCCCCTTGCTAGGAGGACCAGAATTTTCTGTCGGGGTTTATTCCCTTAGCCTATAAATAACTCACCCCGCTGGCAGACGTGTTAGCGAGTGGGGGGGGATTAGGTAAGGAATTTGGAGTTTAGGTAGGATAATACTAGGGTTTGGGCCTGGTTTCACCTAAATAGGGAGTGGAGGAAAAACCAGGAGCTCGCGTGGGCAGGGACGCTACCTCCCTGAAGTAAGTCTACCCTCTATCGGGACCATAAAGGGGTACCTACCCGCTACCCGTATGGGGTAATTTATAAAATTCAGAAATTATTTTAAAATAAATTGAGTTTCTTTAAATGCGGTAACGTAAGTCACTTTAACCCTATAAAATACAACAACAGAACTACATATATGATTTTCAATGATTATCCCGTTTAGACAAAGATATCTTCCTGCAATGTACAACAAAAAAAAGTGCTAATAATCTGTTGTGTAATTTATTATAAAGATTTTAAAAAAACCTTTTATTTCTCATAATGCACACAACATGACTTACACCACTTTGGGTATCGCCACTCATATTATACCTTGTATACAAGAACCTTGTATACATCTTGTACAGTTGACTTAGAGAACTTAATTAACCTGATTTTTTTCTGTTTAATCAAAATGATCCGCCACTAGAGCGAAACAACTAAAAAAACGGTATAAACTTTACTCACCAGTAGAATTAAAATATGACATTTAGTTGAAACGCTTGTTGCACAAGTCCACAAAAGGCAATTCGATTTAAGAGTCTTTTGCAATTGAAATTGGAAATTATTGATAACTATTATTTTTTGTCCGCGTTGGCTCAAAACGTAATTAATGAGCAGTTCACTATCCATGTTAAAGGAACAAAGGCAAATGAATATAATGTTTTACATAGTTTTAGGTAGCTATTAATATAATATTGTGAAATTCCCAAAAAAACACAGAAAAAAATTGCATTTGCATTTACTACATCTATTTTAGCGGTTTGCAAGAGGTTTATGGTCTATACCTGCCACGGGTTGCAGGCAGGCCAGTGACGAGTTTACCAATCTCCTGGAGTCTATTTTAAAATCCCTTGTTTTATGGTATTGACGAGTTTGTACTATGTACAAACTTATGCTAATTGGTGATGAGTTTACGTGTACCCAGTTGCTGTGGTAATGACCAATATCCGTAACGGATAAGTTTTATAAGAAGCCTGGGAACAAGAAATAATGCCAAAAGAATGGAGTGGCTGTATTATCGTGCCAATATATAAAAAAGGCAAAAAGGATACATGTGGCAACTACAGGGGAATCTCACTAATCGGTACTACATATAAGATATTAGCTTCAGTAGTACTAAAACGATTACTGCCATATACCGAGGAAATTATTGGCGATTACCAATGCGGCTTTAGGTCTGGAAGATCAGCAATCGACCAAATATTTACTATCAGACAAATGCTAGAAAAGTATTGGGAATATAATAAAGAAGTACACCAGATCTTCATAGATTTCAAACAAGCATATGATTCCATAGATCGCTTGAAACTGTGGAGTGCAATGATGGGAGTTAGGCGTACCAAAGAAGCTTACCATGATTGCGCGAATGTGTGTCAACAATTCCTTTGCACAAATTAGAATAGGAGGCAACACTTCAAAGGCTTTCGGCATAAGCACCGGGCTCAGACAGGGAGACCCGCTGTCCCCATTACTATTTAACCTAGCATTGGAATACGCAATGCGAAAAATCTATACCAGAGTCAAACCAGACATAACTGCCAGAGGAGCAAAGATTATTCTCGCATTTGCGGATGATGTAGATGCAGTAGCACAGACAACACTGAAAGTTAAGGATATAGTATTGAACTTATTGATACATCGTCGGACACACGGTAACACATATGGAAGTAAAACATGGACATCGAGAAAGAAAGAATTCAATAAACTATTAGTATGGGAACGCAAAATCCTGCGAATTATATACGGTCCTTGCAGGGACAGCGTGACAAATGAATGGAGGAGCAGATACAACAATGAAATAGAGACTCTCTTCGGGAAAGGAAACATCGTAAGATACATAAAAGCCAATAGATTAAGATGGGCAGGCCACGTGGTACGGAGTGATGACGACAGACTGATTAGCAATGTGTTTTGGGAAAGACCAGATGGTAGAAGATCGGCAGGAAGGCCTAGAAAAAGGTGGAAAGACGCAGTCAGGGAAGACCTGGAGAAGATGGAAGTAAGGACATGGGAAATAATAGCACAGGATCGGAATCAATGGAAGGCAATAGTAAACACGGCAAAAGCTCACGAAGAGTTGTAAAAGCCAATGATAATGATGATGATAAGTTTCACAAGAAGAAGAATAAAAGATTATAATGTCCGTAACTTCATAAGATTTTTTATGTTGGGAGTAAAATACAAATTGCATTAAAAAACTTAACTTTAAACCAAACTGTTCATCAGATATAAAACTGTAAGAAATAATCTCAAATAAGCTCAAAAGAACAAGTGGACCTAGAAAGATACAGGAACAGAGAGGTAAAAAGATTAATAACAAAAAGATAAAAATGATAACCGGGAATCAACATGTATGAACATCGGACAATAAATAGGAGGTACAAAGAACTCAGAATCCTGAAAAGTGATACGAGTCTGAAAGAAAACACACAGGAAAAAGCAAATTTTACTTCCATAAGCGAAAAACAATGGAATGATTACTACCAAGAACTCCTGACAGAAAAGCGAACAAAATTCATGGAAAAATAACAACAAACAACAAATACCAAGGAACAACTAAATTTATCATTGGAAGAAGTAAAAAAGAACTTAAAACAAATAAAAAATAATAAGCAGGCCCCGCAGGGATAGCACCCGAGCTAATTAAATACGGCTCTAAAAAATTGTTCCTTATGATACATATCATGTTTCAGAGAGACTTGAACACCGAACAACAACCTGAAGAATGGTCGACAGCCCATATTATCTCTATTTTCAAGAAAGGGGATAAAAGAAAATGTGAAAATTACAGAGGCTTAAGCATTTTACCATCTATAGAAAGATTATACCCATATGGAACGACCATCTGTATACCCTCAGTTTCGCCGACGATAAGGTCATCACAAGACGAGGAAGACCTAAGTTATATGATTCGAAAACTAGAAGAAGAATATAATATAAATGGCCTGAAAATAAACATTAACAAAACAGGATATCTGAACATAACACAAGAACCAACAAGAAACCTGGAAGTGAATGACGGGCGTGAAATAAAGGGGACCGATAAATTTAAATACCTGGGGTTCATTATATCAAATAAAGGTACTATATGAGAAGAAATTAAAAATCGAGTGGGTCAAACCAGAAACTCGACAACTGAGTTCAATTCTATGGGACAGACACATAACAAAAAATAACAAAAAAAATAATTTATAACACTATGATTCGCAGCATTCTAACATATGGAACAGAAAATTGGGTCTTAAACAAAAGCAGGAGAAACAAAATAAATGCCACAGAAATGGACTACTGGAGAAGAAGCTGCAGAGTTTTTAGAATGGACAAAATAACTAACGACGACATCAAAAGACGAATGGAGACAAAGAAAGACACTTTAAATTACATTGAAGAAAAAAGATTAACGTGGTACGGACATGTCCGACGAACAGACCCAAACCGATGGATAGTAAAAAGAACAGAGTGGAGCCCCATAGGAGAACGCAAAAGAGACAAACCAAGAAGATCTTTCAGAGATGAGGTAGATGAAGCTATGGAAAGAAAAGGATTGGAAGACGGAGAATGGGAGGACAAAGAAAAATGGAGAAAATGGTTGAGAGAAGGAAGACAGCGACAGCTGTAGGAACCCTTTTTATATATATAAGAAATGCAGTCTTGATTTTAAGACAATACTTACGTTAGAAAGTCCTTCAGGCGCATTTCCATAAAAAATTCTTCTAGTACTATTTAAATTTAGTGCATTGGAAGGCCATGTTGCCTTCTTTACGACATCTTTGTCCTTAGTAGACCAATCATAGCGTGAAAACTGAGGTAAAGATATGGTTAAGTCATTTGGTGTTCTGGCTGTTGTAAATAAAGCAGTGTTCAGGTACGATTCTCCATGTCTATGTCTAAGTAAGTTACGAGAAACATGTACATCAGAAGGTAGTTCTACATCATTTGATAAAGCTTTTTTCTTCATTGCCGAAGAATTTGTTTGTCTTGTATCATCTTCTTGACTTTCTAATGATAAGGAAGCAGGCAGAGATAGTTTTAAATTTCTTGACATATTAGATGTTATCTGATTTCTAAAAATTTTAAAAAATTATTAATTTTATACTACTAAAACTAATAATAAATAAATTATACCGGATTATATTGATATAGCGGAACATCCAAGGATGCTGGCAAAATTCTTGATTGTAATACTAACAGGAATCTATTTACAAAGTTTCAAGACTTTTAGGAGTACAGAAATTTAAGACAAATATTTTTTTGGATATTTTAATAGAAAAAAGATCAGCTAAGAATCTAGAAACTCATATTAGTTTTGTAGACCTGCAAAAAGCATATACATCCCATTAACAAAATTGTGGACAACGTTGCAAAGCTCTAACATCGACCACACATTGATAAATGCTGTACAAGAACTATATAGAGATTCAAAGGCACAGATAAAAACAGGAAAATATCTAACGTAAGAATTCCTGGTTACAAAAGGCTTGCGACAGGGATGCTGTATCTCACCAACCTTGCAGCAGCAGCATTGGAAAGATGGAAAAGAAAGGTGCATAGGATGGGTATAGAACTTAGCAATGAATGTATATATACACTCCAGTTTGCTGATGACCAGGTAGTACTAGCGACCGACAGGGAAGACATGCAGTACATGCTTAGAAAACTGATAGAAGAATATAACGACTGGGGAATGAATGTCAATACAACAAAAAACCAAATATCTTTGTATTGGAAACGAGTCAGATAACGTAGATCTCGAAAACGGACAACATATTTCCTGTAGTCAGAGCTATGACTACTTGGGTGTTGCCTTAGACAATACAGAAACTGATACACGGGAAATAGAAAAACGAATCACTCAAGCAAAGAAAGTCTTAGGATGTCTCAATGGTATACTGTGGAGTAAAGAGATATCGAAAGGAAGAAAATTTAATATGTATGAGACCATGATTACTCTTCTTTGTGGCGCTGAAACATGGAGAATTAGTGAAAAGAACAAAAAGCGAATAGAAGCAGTAGATATGGATGCAATGAGAAGATCTTTAGGTATTTCCAGACGAGACCGAATCAGAAATGATGTAATAAAACAAAGTATGGGAATAGAAGGAAATATAACTCAAGATATAGAGAAGAAACAATTAAGGTGGTATGAGCATGTTCAACGGATGCCAGCAACAAGACTCCCCAAAAAAGTAGTAGAATGGCAACCGATAGGTCGACGGAAAAGAGGAAGAACCAGATTAGAATGGCAAAACGGCGTAAACAAGTCCATGAGCGAAAGAAATTTAACAACAAAGACTGCAAAGATAGGAAGAGATAGTGTTTAGGTATCGGACAACGTCGAAAGACGTTCTAAACCGGTGTATATATATTTTTTTTTTGGAACAAGAGAAATTTATATAACAAATCTCAAATCTCTAAAAGTCATACTATTCTGCAAATCTTAATGTAGGGTCAAATATTGAGACGTTCAAGACGAATTACATATTATAATTTAGGTCAACTTATGGCCTGTAACACTGGGATCGTTATGGATATATTTGTTTGTCCATTTACAGCACCTCATTCACTTTTCTCCACCTATTGGTTTGCCTACAATAGGAGCAGAATGTACCAGCTTTGATGGTAGCTTCTTTAATACAGCCCAAAGATTTTGACTTTTTCTTGGCGACTAATAGAACTCGTCTTGTTAAGCTTTTACAGTGACATAAGATATGCAATATAGTTTCCTTTTCTTCTAGAAAAAATCAACATTATATGCTCTGTTGTTAATTCTAAAAGATAAATTTATAAATTTGCTAAGCCTAAAATGACTGTTTAGGACACAAATAATCCTCATAATCATCCCAATAACCGTTCTACTGTAACTCACAAGTCTGCTGTGAATTTGGCAGTGATTGTAAAAACCATTTCCATGTTTTATTTTTGTTATTGATCAATGTCAATAATCATTTATCGGCTACGTAATACCGGTCAATATCATTGATCATTTACTATCAACGATGTAATATACGATCTTCAGAGATAATGCTGCTGCAGCACATATTTCCTTGTCGATAACAGTTGTTAGATAACATGAATTGTTTTCAATGATGTGTGGATTTAAAAAAATAATTCAGGTAAAAGCTTCAGTCGAGTAAAAAGTTATACCTAAATTGCCATAATATTACCGCAAGACTTGAGTACTTAACGAAATTCACTGAACGACAAAAGTACGTACAGAGATATTACGATGAAATTAATTTATAACAAAGTAATTCAATCCTAAAAAAATGAAATAATGACACCGCTTTGACCAGTTCGTAGTTTTAAAATTAGTCCTTACCAATAAATCACCCTCTTTATTAAATTGTTGTTGTTAAACATATTAAACAAATAAATTACATATTTAAATTGCCATAAAACTAATTAAAAGTAAGAAAACATAAGCAAATAAAAAAAAATAAAATCAACTTCATACCTATATGTAGATGATGTAGGTTGATTACACCACACCTTATCATTTCCGAGAAAATGCAAATGTTTTTCTGTTTTTTGTGACTCCTAAAAACAATAACGAAAATCAGTTTACTGTCTATGAAAAAATATTTTATTGATTATTTGTATTTCTTTTAACAGTTAATAAAATTATCTCCATTTGGCTACATTTTTTTTAAAATTTATATCATTGGTTTTCCTGCGAATGGAAACTTTTAAAACTAGTAGAATTTTTTGTCAAAAATACACTCCGCCAAAAAAGTATGGCATCACCTATGAAACTGTAAATTTTGTATTAAAAATAATTTAAAACATGAATTTTTTACTGTTGTTTTTTTTTGTTTTTTAAGTACGTAAAAAGTTTTAAAAGAAAAATGCAGAATGTACGAAAAAAAAAAAAAGATTTTATTTAAGTTATTTCATAAATTAATAGTAAGCGCACAAACAGCATTGAATAAAAAAAATTAAAATTAAAAGTAATGATAATTTAAAAGACCTATGACCTCCTCTAGCTCTTATAACATCTAGACAAGGTTGTGGCATATTTCCAATTAATCTTGATCGATATTATCCCATTTTACAGTTAACAACCGTTGGAGATCCTGAAGATTAGCTGGCGTCACATTACCCTTCTGTACAGATGGTCACAAACATGCTCTATTGGATTTAAGTCCGCTGGCTGTGCGCTGGACAATTCAAAAACTTGTAAATTTACCTCTCGAAGGTACTCGGTAACGATTCTTGCGACATGTGGACGTGCATTGTCATACATTAAAACAAAGTCATTACCAATAAATGAGGCGTAAAGAACAACATTCATCTCCAAAATTTCACTAATGTACCCATTAGCAGTTAAGGATCGTCTATCTAGCTGTACCAATACGGTTTGACCTCTAAGAGATATTCCGCCACAGAGCATAATAGAACGGTAGTAGATGTTGCGGCGCTTGGGGTTGTGAAAATTTTACCGACCGTGGGAAAAAGAGGCATCATTTAATGTTTACACCTGCTCAGGTGTTCGAGTTACGTCACGCTCACTGACAAGTCGAGTCATTTCTTCTTTTCGTCAGCTGATCTGTTTTTTCGTCTCATGTCACCTTTTTCTATTCACTAATTGAACGTCTACTGCTTGCCAAGCTCTGCCAAGCTTGTCCACTCCTCCAAAGTTTGTCGCTGGTCTTTGGTTGCATTGAAAATAATGCTCGTTATCTCGTCTATAAACTGGTATTATTCGATCCGAAGTGTATAAAAAAAAACTTAACTCATAGAGAGTCTTTAGCCCCAGTTGTTGATATTCCAGTTTACGTGCTTTCTTGCAAATGTTTAGACGTGCTATACGGTGTTCCCTTGTAAGTCTCGGGACAGTGGCAGCTACTCTGGCCCTAATTCCAGACTGTCTTAAGCTAACAGTTTCTGAAGACAGATGTACATTTCGAGTCTCGGCTGTCATGTTGAAGTTGACTTGCAGTCACATATCTTCGAAGCAAAGCCTGAAGGACTTAAAATCTATTCTCCACATGCGTAGTTGCCTCTTGACCGACCTGTTACAGGTCGTCTTTCATAAAGACCTGTCACTTGGTACCTTACTACCACTCGTGATACTGTCGACTGATTTACACCCACTAAATTTGCCACATATCTCTGACCCTTCTGTCTTCAATGAGGGAAGTTATTCTAACCACTTGATCTGTCGTTAAATTTAAATTTATATTGTCACGACCTTCCATACTCAATATTTAATACGGAATTTTAAATTACACGCAAACTGTATACTTTTCTACAAAAGTAAAATAAAGATTGATAATATAAAAAACCAGACAAAATAGCAATTAACATTTTTTTTTCTTAAACAGTAAGTTGTGTTTACAAATTTTTATTGGCTTTGGCTTGAAACCTTTACCCACGTAATTACATATAAATATTAGTATTCATTCATACAGGATTGTACAAGGAGGACACTTAGGGATTCATCAGAGCGGCTTTATTGTAAAAAATAAACCACGGTTAGGTAGGTGGGCAACATATATGGTAAACATACAAAGGAAATGTTTAAGCATACGATCAATTTTACACTCATACCTTTAATTTAATTTTTACAAGAAATATCATAATTATTTTAAAGATTTTTATATTGTCTTCACTTAATAGGAGATTTACGTTTAATGGTGTACTTAATCCTTCTTTTATCAATTCTTTTATCAGCCACGACAGCCACGTGCTTGTATTACGATGTAGTGGACAGTTGAAGAATATGTGATTTAAATACTAGTTCCACACTTACATCGGTCTGTTAGGAGAACTCCTATTTTGTGTAGATGTTTCGGAAAACATCCATGATCTACTTTTAATCTTAAGACAGTTGACACTGTGTTTGAAAGAAGGAATAGATGATAGTCAGTTTGGGTTCAGAAACGGACTAGGAACCACAGAAGCGTTATTTGCTTGTAATATGTTAGCTTAAAGATACACGGATATGAATGTTGATGTGCATGTTTGTCACGTTGGTTTTGAATAAGCTGTTGACAAAATAAGACATGAAAAATTAGTCCAAATTCTAAAGACAAAAAACATAGACCATAGAGACTTATAATAATAATAATAACAAACCTCTACTGGAATCAAAGAGCACAAATCATAGATAACGAACCCAGTCCAGAAATTGAAATCAGGAGAAAAGTTAGGCAGGGATGTATTATGTTCCCATTACTATTTAATGTATTTTTTGAAGAAGCATTACTATCTCAAAGTAAAGAAATAATAATTAACGGAAGATCTATTAACAACATAAGTGATTATGGCAAGCTCTGCTGAACAACTCCAATTACTGCTAAATAAAACAAACAGTTTCTGTGAAAAATATGTACTAAAAATGAATATAAAAAATACCAAATACATGATAATAACAAAAAAAAACAAATATACCGACAAACATACATTTGGGAAATGTACCGATAGAAAGGGTTGATAAATACAAATACCTAGTAACCTGGATTTCAGACAATAATGATCAAACAACCGAAATAAGAACCAAGATAGACATAGCAAGAAATGTGTTTGTAAAAATGAAAACAATTCTCTGCAACAAAGACCTTAGATTAGAACCGAGAGAGAGAGAGAGAGAGAGAGGAGAGAGAGAGATGTTTTTTTCTTTTTCTTTATATAAATGCTATTAATGTCACTGCATCACTTCCAAGAAGCACTTTCTTTTCAGGACATTTACTTTGAGTTCATAAAACAACTGATGTTAAGACAATACTCACATATCAACAGAAATAAAAGAAAAAATTAAGTTTCTTTTAAAAGTAAATAAGCAAACTCTTAAAGAAGTGCAAAATGGACATGAAAAACAAGGTCGTTTACGAAACTGTCTACAAGTTACGCACAAAATTTCAAATCCTGGGGTCAAATGTAGGTCAAATCCACGGTAGTAGTTCAGGATTAACGCGTATTTACACAAACCGCTTAAAACTTCCACAAATAACAATCTTATATAAATTTTACTCAGTAAACAAAATTAAAACTTACTTGTAATGGCATTGGGTCAAAATATTGTTGCTTATTATATGAAAGTTTTGGTGATGTAGTAGGAGACGGTGGTGATTTCTCAAAATTTTTTGGGTAGTTCATCCCATCGGCGTTTCGTAAAGTTTGTACAGGTGAGAGTGAGTTGGGCGTCAGGGTAGCATTACTTCTTGAATCTTCCCGGATGAATTGGGGGATGTTGAATTACGCCTCTGAGCACGTAGACTATTTAACCTTCACAGAATAATATAAATATGAGTAATTTATATATACATATCAGTAATAAGGACAAAAAAGGATTGCTTTTTATCTGTAAGTTGGTCTGTGACCTACTTTTTATGTCATATGGTTTATAAAAACATAAATAAAAGTAAATAAAATAAAAATGATCGCCAACATTCGGTAATAAAAAATAATTGTTAAAATGGAAGGCATGGGGATTGCTACGTAGACTAGGTGGAGCCGTTAGAGAGAAACGCTTGAACAAGAACAGTATCGATCCGAAAAGGATAGCTAACAGTTGAAGTATCGCGTGCCCCTTCTGACAAAATCCATACGACGTCTACAAAAAAAGCTCTAAAAGAACTTAAGACAAACATTCCTCCTACTTCAGAGTTTTCAAGATGCTTCTCTCTGAACGAAATAAACGATGGCCTCAGTCAAATTAAAAAAGGCAAAGCGGCAGGTTTCGATGGAATGTATCCTGAGTTCCTAATTCACTGTGGTCCAAAAACGCGACACTGGCTCAAAGACTTTTTTAGTGACATAATGAAGACATCTGTACTACCTCCAGAGTTCAAAAGAACCAAAGTTATTGCAATTTTAAAACCTGGAAAGGACGATGAACTACCCGAAAACTATCGACCCATTGCCCTCCTCAGTTGCTGCTACAAACTACTAGAGCGACTTATATATAACAGGATATACCTCATCACCGACACTGTGATACCAGTCGAACAGGCCGGATTTAGAAGCGGGCGTAGCTGTAGTGATCAAGTACTGTCCTTAACGACATTTATTGAAGCCGGTTTCGAAAAACAGGAAAAAAACAGCCGTAACGTTTATAGATCTGACATAAGACTGCATATGACACTGTGTGGAGAGAAGGCCTGATTTACAAGCTAATGAAGGTCATACCATGCCTGAAAACCTGCCAACTAATCAATAACCTCCTAACCAACAGACTGTGTTTCAAGTATATATAAACGATACAAAGAGCAATGTCAGAAAGCTAAATAATGGCCTCCCACAGGGTTCAGTGCTTGCTCCACTGTTATTTAACATTTACACAGCCGATCTTCCAGAGACAAAATCAAAAAAAATTGCTTACGCAGATGACCTGGCTATCGCATTTCAAAACCAAGCCAAAGATGTTGGAGAAAGAGCGCTTACCGAATACTTAAGGGTTCTCTGCGACTACTTTAAACAATGGCGACTTCGCCCTAATACAAACAAAACTGAGACAAGCCCCTTCCATCTCACAAATCAGCTTTCGGATGACACCCTTAGCATCGCCTTCAATGGCGAGACTTTGAAACATAATAACAACCCTAAATACCTGGGTGTAACGCTCGACAGATTACTGACGTTCAAAACCCATCTTACGAATGTAGCTGCCAAAGTGAGAACCCGTAACAACATAATAACAAAGCTTGCTGGAACGACATGGGGTGCCACTGCGGATACACTTCGAACCTCCTCACTGGCCCTGGTGTATTCTGTCGCTGAATACTGCGCACCGGTATGGCTAAATAGCGCTCATGTCAACAAGATTGATGTTCAACTAAATTACACTATGAGAGTAATATCTGGTACTATTAAATCAACTCCACTAAGATGGCTTCCAATTCTGAGCAATATAGCACCTCCAGATATTCGACGAACGGCAGCACTTGTCAGAGAATATCAGAAAATCATGGCAAATAATCGTCTGCCAATTCACCAGTATATTCCGCACGCCGCACGAGACCAACAAAGACTGAAGTCCAGACGACCCCCTGTCCAATCCGTTCAGGAAATGGGTGATAGCTACAATAAGCAAGAGCAGTGGACGAAAAGATGGATGCCAACAACAGAGCCAGACGTTATCAAAATAACAAGTACGTCGATCGGCTTCACTGGATCAAACCTGCCACGCCCTATATGAACAAAATTAAATCGCATACGCACGGGTCATGGCAAATGGGCCGATTCTCTATACCGATGGGGTCATGCAGAAAGCCCACAATGTGATTGTGGATCCCGAGACAGACCATCCAACACATCATGGCGGATTGCCCAATTCGCAGATACAGCGGAGACCTTCAAGATTTTGCAGAGTGTTCTCCTGGTGCAATTGAATGGCTGTGCAATTTGGACAATAATATTTAACTTAGGTTACAATTCCAATTTTGAACATAATTATTATCTAAATACTACTTTTATCATATTGTAATTATCCATACGCTAAATAAATAAATAAAATTGTTAAAATGTTATACTTACACCTTTTGGCTTCTGTACGATGGTGAGGTTTGTTTTGATGGAGGTTTGGCCCATTCGATTTGGATTAGTTCGTCATCAAAGTGCTCTAAAACAATAAGTAAACATTTCTGATAAATATCCAATAAATAAATTATACATTGATAGCTAGCATTTGCCAGAATGACTTATGTATTGAGAGAGTAAAATATGCCAAGGTATCCACTGGTTCAGAGTTTCCCAAACTTATCTAAACCTCTTTTTGCTAAAAAAAATGGTTCGCGAGCCCCCAATTTCCCCCACTCATTTATTCAATATTATTTGACAGAAATAGCGTGCTCAATTTACAATTATCTGATGGTTTCTCAAATTTAATTTTACTTTACTGTTTAAGTTTAAATCAAAAAATATTTTATTTTAATACAATCATTTTAATGATTGCGATCTGTCCCACTATTAATTAGTAGTAGGTACTTCTGCCAGAATAGAATTTACAACAAAAATAAATAATAAGAAGTCGACTGCACATTGTACACAGTGACATATTAGCTTGTGTCTACATCGCAAAACTCTTCCATGATAATCGCAAAATCGCTCGCTACTAGATGGCACTCTGGAACGTTCTCGTAGCCTCGTTTTGGCTTTTATATAAGCGGCGATACGCAACGAAACCTCAGGTAGAATCCAAACAGCCTATGGTGGCGAACGCGGTGTTGAGTAATGAGTAAATATTTTACGACGAACCTACGTATTCTCGTTTACGTATGTCTACGATAAATTATGGATAAGTTTTTAAAAAGAAGTGCAGAACCATCTACGTCTGAAAGTGGCAGTAGCAGCAATAAAAAGAAAAACAGATTCTACATTGATAAATATCTTAAATGTGGATTTACCGTTATTTCCAATAAACCACAATGTGTTATTTGTGGATAAGTCTTGTCAAAAGAAAGCATGAGCCATCAAAGTTACTTCGACATTTAAATAGCAAACATCCAGATAAAAAGACAAGCCAGTAGGATTCTTTGAAAGAAAGCTGAATGTCCTTCACAAACAGCAAGACAGTTTTTTCTTGGCAACCACTACTAATGAAAAAGCATTATTAGCAAGTTATAAAGTTGCTTATCGTGTTGCCAAAACTAGTAATCCTCACACAATTGCTGAAAAATCTGATTTTTCTAGCAGCTATTGAAATGGTTTATATAATGTGTGGGGAAAGAGAGGCTGCAAAATTAAATACAATACCTCTGTCAAATAATACTATCCAAAGAAGAATTAGTGATATGGCAGAAGATATTCAAGCGCAAGCTGTGGAAAATCTTAATAAATGCATGTACTTCTTCGCACGCTCTTCAAATGGACGAATCCACAGATATATCTAACTGTGCCCAATTCATTACGTTTGTAAGATATGATACAAATAATGGCATTCAAGAAGATATTTTATTTTGTTTCCCATTGGAAACCAGTACCACTGCAAAATGTTTACTCGACACTTTTGTGAAACCTACAAGTAAATATGATATTGACTAGGGTAAATGTATTGCTATATGCACAGATGGCGCTAAAGCTATGACAGGACATAAATCTGGTCTTGTCGTAAAATTACAAAAAATAATGCCTAATGCCAAATGGAGACATTGTTTTTTACATCGAGAAGCTCTTGCGTCCAAAGCTTTACCTCCTGAAATGGACTGTGTTATGTAAACCATCATTATAGTAGTAAATTCCAAGAAAAAACTTTGCAGACCCGTATTTTTAGAAAAATTTGCGAAGACATGGGTGCTTTATTTAAAAATCTTCTCTATCACACCTAAGGAGGGTGGCTTTCAAGGGGCAACGTCTTAAAAAGAGTATTTCACTTAAGAGCAGAGCTTTTAATGTATTTGAAAGATGAGAAGTCCCCATATAAAAATCAATTTTCCGATCCTATTTGGCTTCTGAAAACTAGGTTTCCTTGCTGATATTTTCGAGCAATTAAATATTTTGAACAGTGATTTACAAGGTCGCGACATTAATATAATTACAGCCACAGATAAAATTAAGGCGTTTCTAAGAAAAATCGATTTATGGTCGACCTCACTTGGCAAAAAACAACTCGATTTATTCCAGTGCCTTCAGAAAATTATGGAAAATGTATCCAGTTACAGTGCTACAAATTTTGAACAAGTTTTTGCTGACATGCATGTTAGTTTGCTCAATTTAAAACAACAGCTCTGTGATTATGTCCCCGAAGAAATTCAAAACAGTTACGACAGTTGCAGATGGAGACTAAATCCGTTTTTAGCCGATTCCTTTCAGCATGTTGAAATACCTATAGACAAAACTATTGAAATATCAAGTAATGGAATGTTGAAGCTCCAATTTTTTTCCCAGAACTCGGACCAATTTTGGACCGAAAAGATGCAGGAATACCCCCAGTTGGCGAGTGAAGCTGTAAAATGATTGGTTCCATTTGTATCATCATATTTGTGTGAGTTGTTTCTCGTCTATGGCTGCCATTAAAACAAGAGTTAGAAATCGTCTCGTACTTGAAAATGATTGAAAACTTGTAGAAATTTAAAACTGATGGTCCTCGTATAGTAAGAAACAGCGCTAAATACGTTCGTTAATGGTTTGAGAAAGAAAGAGAACCACTTTCTATTCGTTTGAAATATAAAATGGCTAGTCAAATTTTATAAGACTATTAAGTTTTAGTAAGGCCATTAAAAAAAAAGATAAAGAGGACCAAGAAAGTCTGGAACAAATGAAAATAATTCGCGACCAGATAACACATAAACGTGAGTCTAGATGTTAGATTTACCATAAAATAGTTCATTTTCATCGCAACTTCAAGAAACTAAATAAATACAAAAGTAGGATTTCATAAACCTACCTAATTCCTACAAAAGTAGTATTTTGGTCGGGTTTATTGCTTGTTACATTGGTGGTCGTATTAATAACAAAAAAAATTTTTTTTTTGATAGATACAGATGCAATAACAATTATGTCAAGAAATAACAAGGGGCTACGTTAGATCATCACCAGCATCAATAATTACAATAGTACAATAAATAAAACTGTTCTTGATGATACGGGAAAGAAACTGCTTCACAATAAACAATTACTTGGATGGTAGCAGAAGCACCGAGAGCTGGAAAATACTTCGCTCTCTTCGACTTCTTCTTCTTCTCGTGCCACTCCTAGCGGAGATTGGAAATCATCATGGCCACTGCGACTTTGTTAGCAGCGCGCCTGAAAAGTTCAATCGAACTACACCCGAACCATTCACGTAGATTACGAAGCCACAATATTTTTCTTCTTCCCACACTTCTTTTGCCCTTAATTTTGCCCTGCATGATGTTTCTTAAAAGTTCGTACTTTTCACCTCTCACAATGTGCCCCAAGTATTCCATCTTTCTAGTTTTTATCTTATTTAGAATTTCGCATCTTTTGTCTAACGTTTGGAGTACTTGCGTGTTAGTGACGCGGTCCATCCATGATATTCTGAGAATGCGCCTATAGCACCACATCTCGAAAGCTTCGATGTTTTTTATGGTCAACTGTTTAACATAACACCGCAGCATTCTTATTCGTAACTTTATATTGATATCACGATTGCAAAAGAGTTTGCGCATTCTATTAAAGACTGATCTAGCGATTTCTATTCTACATCTAATCTCTTTTGTTTGATCAGTATCGTCTGTGATCCAAGCACCTAGATATTTATAAACAGGGCACACGCTCAATCGTTGTATTGTCTATTACAAGATTAGCTCTGATGTTCTTTGATTTCGTGATTACCATAAATTTGGTTTTTTTCAAATTAATTTTCAAGCCGTAACTGTTACAGTATATATTGAGACTTTGAACGAGATGTTGTAGTTCTACTAGCGTTCCCGTTAGGAGAACTGTATCGTCAGCATACCTTATATTGTTGATCGTCTCACCATTTATTATCAGACCAAGATCTTCTTCCTCGAGTGCTTGTTCACAGATAGCTTCACTATACAGATTAAATAAAAGTGGCGATAAAATACATCCCTGCCGGACTCCTCGACGGATTTGAATTTCTTCTGTTAGTCTGCCCTCAACCTTGACATTTGCTGTTTGATTCCAATATAGATTGCATATAATTCGAATATCTCGGCTGTCTATATTTTTCTTTATTAGAACTTGTCTTAGTGGTTCATGTTGTAGTTTGTCAAAGGCCTTTTCGAAATCAATAAAGCAGGCGTAAATTTCTTGGTTCATGTCTAAGCATCTCTGTGAGAGAAGGTTCATTGCAAACAGAGCCTCCCTTGTACCCAGCCCTTTTCTGAATCCCATCTGAGTGTTACTGATGTCTACGTCTAATTTCCTATAGACTATTCTAGACTAGATAAGACTAAAGACATCATCTCACCGATAAGCCTAGATAAATGGGATGAATATTTCGCAAATCTACTGGCGGAGGAAACGGCAGAATATTTGCAAACACCTCAAACACAATCAGAGGTGCAAGTACATACAACAACTTCCTCAATTAGGATCGACGACAAAGAAGTAGCACGAGTATGCCAAGCATTAAGGAATAGAAACTCATCAGACCCTGACAATATCCCACCTGAGCTACTCAAGTACAGTAGAAGCAAATTATATAAGCAGCTAGCCAGCATTTACCAAAAATGTATTAACGGAAAAAGTATACCGGAAGAGTGGAGTATATCGTTTATCACACACAATACATAAGAAGGAAAGTGAAGATGTATGACAATTATAGAGAAATCACAGTCCTTGGCACCATCTGAAGAGTTTACGGAAAACTCATCAAAAAGAGAATGGAAGATTTATTCTGTGATATGAAGGCCGAAGAGTAGGCCCGGCTTTAGAGCAGCTAGATCAACTACTGACCATCTGTTTACTTTTGCCCAGCTAATCGAAAAAAAAAGTAGCACGAAATCAACCAATACACTTCCTCTATGTGGACCTTAAAAAAATTATGATAGTGTGCCACAACAGAAACTCTTAAGAAGCTCTCTAGAAAGCAAATATTATTGTAAACAAGGCTGTTTAAGACCTCTTCAAGAACAACACAAGTAAAATAAAGAAAGATCAGGAGGTATCAAAGGGTTTCACTATCAGCAAAGGACTCAAACAAGGATGCTGCGTGTCTGCTACTTTGTTTAAGATCTACTAGGAGCAACCGATAAAGGCGTGGAAAATAAAATGCAGAAACGTGGGAATTTCTCTAAACCACGTAATATTGTACACATCGAGTTTTGCAGATCACCAGATAGTGATGGCCCAAGACCTCGTTTATATGACAAGGAAAAAAGGAAATTGCAATATCTCGGACATATGATGAGAGGCGAAAGATACAATATCTTGAGACTCATAATTCAAAGAAAAATAGAAGCGTAGGAAGAAGACGCGTTTCCTAGTTGAAGAACCTGAGAGAGTGGTTTTTTGCAGCTCAAGGCAATTGTTCAGAGCAGCTGCCTCGAAGGTCAGAATAGCCATGATGATTGCCAACCTAAAGAAGAAGAATTTGATACTGTTGACATTTTAATTAAATCTGATAAAGTGAAATATTTAATCGTGACTAAAGGTGAATACGATAGAATAGATGATAGAAAAAATAGTTATAAACATATAATTAGGTATTTAAAACAGCTTGGTATTCTTACCTTTTAAGATTTTCATTAAATGTTCAGCTTGAGTTCTCGTAAACAAGTGAATAAAAGCGTAGTTTTTGAATTTATATACTCTTTGGATATTTTCTTTATCCATCAGCTTAAATACTGATTCCTGAAGTTCTTCTTTGCTTAACGTGACAGGTAGATTTCGCATGAAAATAGTTGTTACCTTAAAATTAAGAAAGAAAAATTACGTATTGGTTTAGTAATAGAGCATCAATAAAAGTGTGTTACCTTTTCTAGTACAGAGCTATCAACAATGGGTAGAGGAACAGACCAATCAATAATAATCTCCTTTCCCCACATCCACAATTGGCCTTCGTATTGGGCACGGAATCCAGCAGCTTGTTCGTGTCCTTCAAACTCCACAAAGACAAATCCTCGATTCTGAGATCGATCTGCGTAATTCCTAAAACATTGTTCGCCTTTTGTAAAACAAATTTATGGTGAAAATAATGCATTTTCTATGGCTTCTGCCTTCTCTCTACCCCATTTTTATATAAAAAAAACATTTATACATTACAATCATCTACTCTACAGTTTTATTACTATTTACTAAGAAACGAAGAAGCGGATTAATTATAAAAAATGTCATAATTATTAAGAAAAGGTATACATTTTTTAAAGATAAAATATAGATAAAATATTAGAGAAGGTAAAAAGAAATAAAAACAAAAAAAAATGCAACAATAAAACACTGAAAACTTTGTTTTCAAACTTCCACAAAATTTATTTTAAATCTTATCACTACAGCTGTTTCGGCTGATTGCCTTTCTCAAGTGATCTATTTTTGGCTTGGGTTTACAAATTTATAGTCTCGAATGAAATAGGTTGAGGAGGGGAGAACTGTTTGTCTCAAGTTGGTTATTCAGAATTATATCTGTGTTTTTTAATTTGTTGATTTTCATAGATTCTAACAAAGATAGCTCAAGGCCTTTATGTTGAATGTGAAGAATTTTAAATTTGTCATTAAAATAATGATTATGATCTAGAAGGTGAAGTGCGTATGTCGAATCTGTTTTTCTATTCTTGAAAGCCCTTTTATGTTTCGCTATTCGTTTATCAAAGTTTCTACCAGTTTGACCGATGTAAGTTTTTGGGCAGTCGTCACATTGAAGTTTGTACACACCACTATTTAAGTGTTTTTTTATTTTGGCTCTTGTTATTTTTAATATATTTGCCTAGGTTGTTATTTGTTCGGAAAGCTGGTGTTATTCCTTTCTTTTTTATGTGATTGGCAATTTTTGTTGTTATTTTGCCTGTATATGTAATCGAGCAGAAGGTACTGGGTTTTTTCTCTGGTGGTGGAAATACTTATTTTAGGGCTTTCTTGTGTAGTTTTTGATTTAACATTTTATTAATTGTTTGTTCGTTGTATCCGTTGTTTACTGCTATTTGCTTAGTTATATTTAATTCTGTCTCAAAGTTGTATTTTGACATAGGAATTTCTGTTAATCTATGTAACATACTATGATAAGCTGCCAGTTTATGTTGTGTTGAATGGGATGATGAATTGTGTATAGTCGTGTCAGTATGGGTAGATTTATGAAATATGGAGAAGTCATGTTTGTTTTGAAGTCTGCTAATTTTTAAATCGAAAAAATTTATGGATTGATTTTTGTTCTGTTTCTATTGTAAATTCAATATGACTATGAAGTGAATTAATATACAATAAAAATTGGTCGAGTTGCCTGTTAGTTCCTGTGAAACATACCAGTACGTCGTCTACGTATCTCCACCAATATAAAAACTGTTTGAATACGGGATGTTTTGAAATCTTTGTCTCTAGATGATCCATAAAAATATCTGATAGCAATGGGCTTAGAGGATTACCCATTATAAGTCCTGCACTGTTATTTGTATATATTTTATTATTAAATTCAAAGTAGCTTATGTTTATGCAAACTTCAAGAAGATGTAAAATTTCAGATGTAATTATTGGATTTGTACTATTTTGGTCTAAGAGGTTTTTTACTAGAATAAAAGTTTCTGTAAAAGGGATACTACGAAAAAGATTTTTTACGTCAAATGAAATTTATCTGGAGTTGTTAGGTACTTGAAAATGTTGTATTTTATTAACTAGTTCAATTGTATATTTTATGGTAAATTTAGGTGAAAATTTAGTGTGTTCTAAAATAATCTCTAACAGTTTTTTTGAAATTTTATATGACGGAGCTGTATAAAAATACCTACAGGTCTTATTGGGTGATCCGGTTTGTGTAGTTTAATGAAAGAGTATAATTTAGGAGGCTATGGGTTCATGATATTGAGGTATTTCTGTTCTATTGGATTTAGTATTGATTTTGAATTTTATAATGCTAGCTTAATTTGTTTTTGATATTTTTCTGTCGGACCTTTGTGTAAAGTTTCAATATTTTGATTATTTAGGAATTAAAAAAGAATGCAATAAATGCAATAACAGATGTTTTTTTGAGCTACTACAGACAAAAAAAAATGTAGAAATCAATTAATTTTTCACTGAGATATTACAAACGTTTCCAAGCTCTGCTGATTTAAGGTTCCCAATTTTATGTTCGTAAAGAGGCTGCCTCGCTTTTTATTTATTACACAGCAATCATAATCTGTGAATTACAAACTGCTTAGATGTTTAGGCTATGCTCCAGCTTTAAACGTCCATAAAAAATTAAAACCATATAAAGAGTACTGTTCAATTTTTTCACATGCGAAAAATCATGTCATTTTTCGCTGTATTAACTATCCTTCTACCACAATTTTACAATTATTACCTGAGTCCAGCCCTTGTTAACCCTTCTTATTCCAGTTCAACCTCCCCTCCTTAAGAAATACAGACAGTTTTAAAATATCAAAGAAGAAAGACTCTCTTGATTGTTGACTGTCGCTAGGGATAGTCGTTTCTCTCCTGCTTAGTCTCGCTAGGAAGACGTACTTTCCCCTCTTGCCTGTTACCTATCGCTTGGTACAGATCTATCCCTCTTGTCTGTTGACTGTTGTTGAGGACAGTCGCTCTCTTTCATCTGCTGAGTCTCGCTAGGCAGACGTACTCTCTCTCTCTCTCTCTTACCTTTTGCTTATCGAAAAGAACAGTCGCTCTCTTGGCTGTTATCTATCGCTGAAGAGACACTCTCTTTACTGTTGACTGCCGCTACCTAATTATCTCTCTTCCGCTTTTAGTTGCGCGAAAATGATTCTGCCCGTCGCATTTTGTAGCTCAGAAGCCGCGTTCATGCCGACAGCCGATCTCAAGCCCGAATAAAGGAGGTTGATGGGCCAGCCTACCCATTGTAAAAGAAAACAAGCGGATCCTAAGATGACAAAACCACACAAAAAAAAAGGAAAACGAGAAGGAAAAATAAGCTTACAATCAGATTTTCAACATGGAACATTACTTCTTTTAACAGCAAAGATCAAGCGATAATAGAAGAACTGATAAATGAAAAAATAGACATTTGTGCAATCCAAAAATCCAAGAAGAAAGGTAACTGCCAAAAAAGATTGGTGAAGTGAAGAAAGAAGAACCAGCACGATCAGGCGTAGGTATACTTGTCTATAAAAACTTTAAAGATAACATAAATAACTGCCTTTATATCTCCAAAAGAATAATACATATGAACATCACAATGTACTAGTAAAATTAAATTAATATTAAATGTCATACCATCTATAGTCCCGAGGACTGCAAACCTAAGAAGGAACGAGAGGCAGTCTAAGAACAATTGCAAACCATCCTGGATGAAATACCTTATTAAGAACCCTTAATACTTATGGGTGACTTTAATACACGAATGGCAAATGAAATAGTTCCAGGAGTAAAACAAAAGTTTAATGAAAACATGTTAACGCTAATGGAGAACTTATTTCTAATCTCTCTGCTTTTAGCAAAGAGATTAGTCTCTTAACGAACTGAGAACCAATAATACATTTTTTGACCATAAGCTCTCCAGGGAGCCAAATATAGGATTGATTTTATAGCCATTATTAGAAAAATTCACCCAAAATTCAAAAATTCTAAATATTCGAACTTTAAACTTAGCAGACGCAGGTGGTGAACACAAAACTAGTTTTAGCAAAAATAAGAATTAAAATAACACCAAAACATTTTATACAGGAAATTACCGAGGAAAAATTCAATGTAGAACCATCGTGGAACGATTCTACAAGAGAAATGTACAAAAAGAGGCTAGCGCAGAAGATACAGCTGAAACAAATATATAAACGCGAGCAGCGAGAAAATTAAAAACAACATTGAAGAAGCAGCAACAGAAATTCTAGGAAAACGCAAAGTCATACGTAACAAAAGAAACAACAATACACCGTGGTTTAGGAAAAAAAATTAAAGCGAAATGTAAAGAGAAACGAGAGGGCTACACGAAGTACAAAATATCAAATACTCCAAAATCCCGAGACACCTATGAAAGAATACGAAATAAAACAAAGCAGTTGGTAAGAAGAACAAAAATGAACACTGGGAATAGTTTACAAACATGATGAAAAGCGACTTCTAAAAAATATGGACATTTTTGAGAAACCAACGAAAAGAAATGGCAGAATTAAGGAATACAAAGCAAAACCAGCATATACATACCAGCAAAAAATGGAAAAGACACCTAAATGAACTATTTAAAGGAAAGGAAAATAATCATTAACACAATAACGTATCCGAATTAAGACACGAAATAGAAATCAGTTTTCAGGAAGTAGAAAAAGTCATAAATTTACTCAAAAATATAAAGTCACCAGGACCAGTTGGAATAACCAACGAGCTTCTAAAATACGGTGGAGAAAGTATAACCTTAAACTTATACAAAAACTAATATTGCACTGCAAGATACCAGATGCATGGAGAAACCATATCGATACCAAAGAAAGAAGATAAAGAAGACCCCAGCAATTATAGAAGTACAAATCTACTAAACACCGCACTTAAGCTTGCCACAAAAATTCTAATTAACAAAATCAATAAACTAACTAACTTTATTCGATTAACAACAAGGATTCAGATCCAGAAGATCATGCGTAGACACCGTATTTGTACAAAGATAAATATCAGAAAAAACCATCAAGTAAAATAAACCAGCATATCTATGTTTTATAGATCTGACAGACTTTCGATCGCATCCAAGTCGAAGACGTCTAACACCTATTGTATAAAAGAAACATACCAATCAATATTATACAAACTACTTTATATACTCTTTAATATAATAATGGACGAAATAATACAAGCAGTACCTACGTAATGGTCATGGTTACCGAATGGGAAACAAAGAAATCGATATATTATGTTATGCAGACGATGCCGCATTAATCGCCAAGACAGAAGACGAGCTCCAAAGATTAACAAACATCTTCAATACAACAGTCAAGAAAAAACAATACGATAACATCAACAGAAAAAATCAAATATATGACATCTAAATACTCGCTACGATGTAAAATCGAAATTGATCGGAAAATAATAAAGCAAGAAGCAAAGTTGACATATCTGGGAATAGATATGACTAATTTCGTAATTGTGGAAGAAGAAGTACGACAACAAAGATTAAAAGCAAGTAAAGCGGCGGGATCTTCTAATGACACAATCTGGAAGAACAAACACTTAAGACAATACACAAAAACAAGAATCTCTAAAGCATAAAATACTCCGATGAATATCAGGGAAAAGTCTATTGGATAGGGAGAGAAACGAAAACATAAGAAGAGCATGCAATATAAACGACATAAATAGATAAGTGATAAAACAAAACCAAGAGTGGTACGAACACATTAGGACAATGACAGAGAATAGGATAGTACGAAAAGCACGAGATAAGTCTCCAAATGGACGAAGAAGTTGGCAGACCAAGAAAAAGATGGTGCGATAATTTAAAACAATTTAGAAGGCTAATATCGAAGAAGAAACAGAGCCTACATACAAGAAGAAAAAAAGAAGAAGCATGCTACCTGGGATCCAATCAATTGGCGTCTACAGACAATTATTATATTTTTAAAATAATAAATTTCTTGCATGTAAACCAAGTAAATATAGATGTATTATATCATCCTTAGTGTCATGTGATATCTCGTATGTCGCCATCTTCAAAGAGCTCTATTAGCTCCCTTAGGAAGCATTTTCGGACTAGGTGAATTGGCTTAAATTGTCTTCGATTGTCAGGAGAGTTTCTGGACACCCTGTATAGATAAATTATCATATCTTAGCAAAAAATGGACAGATGCGGTTTACAAAATTTATGTTGGTGATTGAAAGGGCTTCAATCTAATACATTAAAAATTATACAGGCTTTTTTACAAAAAATATTACCATTTTAATTTTTATTTTTCAATTATGATCGCTAATTATGCAATAACAATACAAATTCAACTTGAAAAAGCTTAAATCAAAGTTTATTCAATGTACTTTTATAATTTTAAAGCTATATTTTATAAAATCCTACCTATGAGTCATATACAAGCAGATCACATGATCACAAGTTTCGTCTGAAATAAGGTCTAAAAGGTAATCCTAAAAGTTTTAGTTTTAGCCGTTAAATTTTATTCTTTGGCGGTTCTTCGCTCAGCTAGTAAACACTCCAAATATTGTAATAGTACAGTAAAATATGTTTTCCTTTTAGCGTTGATTGAATCAACGGTTTTAGTTAATTATTCTAGTTTTTAGTTTTAATTGATAGTTTTTATAGACAATAATTTTTTAAACTATTTTGTGCAGTGAAATAATTTATTATAATTTATGTATTTATTTTATTACATTTTTAATAAATCAAAACTTGATTAATCTTATTTTGTTAACTTTAATAATAAGAATGTCGTTTTTAAATGTTATATAAAATCTGATAAAAAAATTATAGCTTTGCTGAATAAGTCTTTTTGCTAACTAATTTTTAATTTAAATTTGAGCGCAAACACGTAGAAACATGAAGAGTTCCAGAAAAGATATTCACAGACAAGGTCGACACAGTATACACAGTGTATATCAGTTTATAAAAAAAAGAAAAGGAACAAGAATTCCTAAATATCCCGATGAGGAATTTGAAGAAAAGAGTGGCCAAAGCTTGTGACATATTTGTCAATATGGTGAAAAGTTTATTCAAGAATCTCCTAGTAAAAACTTTAAAGCATCTCGAAAACCTTTAAAATAAAAAGGATTTTTGAAGAAATAAAGAATAAAGAAGTGTTAAATTAGTGGCAAAATAGAGTGGAGAAATTTAGATGGAGAAAAACTGTAAATCACAGAAAAGTTTTAATGGAGAAATATATAAAATCAAAAAGAATTAAATATTTAAGAAAATTTAAAAACTACAAGATGACAAGTACAAAAAGACGAGGGACGTCCGATTATACAGTGCTTTTCAGATAAAACTATCCACCTTAAATAACTTTTGAACCTCTAATTTTTTGGAAAAACGCAAAAACACGTCAATTAATATCTGAAAAGATGCAGAACTGATGCAGAAAAAATTAGATCAAGAGGGTCAGTTTTCAATAAAAAACATAACCGACAGGAACTTAATAAGTAGCAAAAAAATAAAAATAGCAGTAAATAAAAAAGCAATCCAAGTAGCTGTTTTAGGGCAAGTTAACTTATGACTCTTAACAATCACAGTCACTGTCAACCATAAGCAGAGCAATCGGTGTTTCATCTTCTACAGCCTTCCGAGTCCTCCATAAATTTAAGTTTTATCCATATAAATTTAAATTAGTACAAGAGTTAAATGAAGAAGATTTTGATCGTCGTCCCGAATGTTGGGAATTAATGATAAAATGCATCATTAACAATCCACAATTGTTAAACAATATTTGTTTCTTGGATGAATGCTCATTCTCATTAAACGGTTTGTTGAACAGATATAATTGCCGATACTGGGCTGAGAGTGATCCACATATTGTACGCGAATTTCACACACAGCATCGTCAAAGGTTAAACGTATGGTGTGGTATCCTACGTAGCAAATGATGATAACCTTTCCGATGATTTGGTTGTGTTTCAACATGATGGAGCTTCTCCACACTTTGCTTTACCTGTGCGATATTTTTTAAACGAAACGTTTCCCGGTCCTTGGATAAGTAAAAGACGACAGATGATCGATTGGTCACCTAGATCACCGGATTGAACACCCCTAGACTTCTTCTTATGGGAGTATTTAAAAACAAAAATTATGCTACTCAACCAAAATATCTAGATGATTTACAACAAAGAATAGAGGATGAATGTCGACAATTAAATGCAGACGTGTTAAGCAATGTCAGAGAAGAATTCCAAAATAGATTGTACTATTGTATGGAAGTGAAAGGCAGTCATTTTGAACAATTATTGTAAAAATTTTTAGTAGTGAAATGTTTGTTCTAAATGTGTGTAATAAAATTGTTAAAAAATAATTTTTTTTCAATCCAATTTTCTTGCTTTTGTATTTACTTTTCTCATAAACTAATCACTTCAAGTATCATGTATTATACATTTCTAAAATCAGCACAAAAAGAAGAATCCAAATATAAAATAAAAAAAGGGGGAAGTAATTTAAAAAAAAATAAAGGGTTGATACAGGGGGTGAGAGGGTGCATTTTCCAGCAACCTTAAATATGATATTATTCCTTCCCCTTCAGATATTAATTAAAGTGATTTTGCGTTTTTCCAAAAAATTAGAGGTTCAAAAGTTATTTAAGGTGGATAGTTTTATCTGAAAAGCACTGTATATAATATATGATATATTAGAGTAATAACTGTCTCGAAAAATATTTTTATTGAAAAGATACGGAGCAATTCCTAAAGAAATCAAAATTGTAGACAAACTAATAAAATTGAAATTTATTCTTAGAATTCTAAGAATAAATTTCAGTATTCTTAGAAGTTCCAGAAAAATTTGTAAAGTAAAAAAAAGTAAAATAAAAAGTAATGACGAAATAAAGCATAATATATAGAACAAAAAAGACCAAAGTGTTATGGACATGTAAGAAGAACTAGCGAAAGCAGATGGATAAAGAGAATGGAGCCCCATACGAATGAAAGAAGAACCCCAAACGCAATTTTGTTCAATTTTTTTAAAAGGAAAAATTTTTATTTTCGTAAAATTAAATATCTCTAATCGTTTAGGATATACGATAATTTAAACAATTAAATTGTTAATAGTAAATTATCTGACGAGTTTTTAGCATGGTTTCCTCGAAAAATCGAATCTACGCACCAAAAAATATAAAAAAAAACGTTTAGGTACCGAGTGGATATAATAGTGCACACTCAAACCCCTCCCCCATCTCTCACTGGCGCCAAGACTAAATATCAGCATAAATAATTGATATAAAAGGCGCAAAAGAGGATAAATTCTAACGGTTTCTAAATCATAGATTTATAAGATTATTAAAAAATAAAGATAAACTATTTTTATTACAATCTATATAAAAATTACCAACAATCCTTATTATTTGGTTTAATGTTTATAGAACAGTGTCGAAGCATTTAAAAAGGGTAAAAAGTAAAAAAAAAAATTATAGTATAATGAAACCTATTGAAAAAAGAAGAGAACATGTTAACATTGGGAGAAAAAAACAAATTATACTCCATCAGATGTCGGGGGGGGGGAGGCGATTTTCGGCGAACTATGAAACTATGGAAAGTACTATGGAAAAGAATTAAATAGCAAAGTTGTAGGTAACAAAATGATGTATGTATTTGATACATACGAAGGCAAGTTTTCACCAAATTTCGTAAAAAAGGATTTTTTTTAAAGATAAAAGTAAAAAATCAAAAACTTTTTGTATTTTGATAAAAGTAAAAAAAATTTTGAGGTTATGTGAAAAAAGTGTAAATACAAAAGTTGTAGATCTTTTTGTTACCTGCAACTCTGCTTTTTAACTTTTTTCCATAGCACTTGTAGTTTCGCCGAAAATCGCGAAAAACCGATTTTTCCCCTTAACCCCCCCCCCCCACTTCCCGACCTCGGATGGAGTGTAATTTATTTTTTCGTCCAATTTTAGCATATTCTCTTCTTTTTTTCAGTAGGTTTCATTCTAGTATAATTTTTTTGGTTTAAAAAATTATCGACCATGGTCTATTAGTGTAAAAAAATAACTAATAATGATTAGATTTTTTTATATAAATTCAAAAATGGTAGCTTCTCATAGCAAAAAATTAATTTCGTGACAGTCAATTTTTATATTTTAAACCTACGTATAGATTATACTAAAAAATATATGGCAACACTGCTACGGTAAGTAATCAATAATCGGTTCAATACATTGAAATAATAATTATTGCTCTAGTAAGCTTACCTGTACATAATGACGTCTGTGATTTTCGTAACACCATTTTTCATTAATTCTTTCCATACGTCATCTCTGCTTTTGCATAACGGAATATTTCCCAAAAAAATGCGGCAATTGTTGTAAGATAATGTGATACGTAGATAACAATGAGGTCTAAACGGTACATAGTTGAGGTCCAGACTGCTTTTAGCTACTTCAGAATTCATGAACGTTACAAAGCAAAACCCTCTATTTGCATTACCACTACCCACCATAACTTTTAATTTAAAAATTTCTCCACATTGTTGGAAAAACTCCATCAACTCTAAATCCGTAGTATCGCTTGGTAAACCGTAAGCGTAGATCTCTGAGTTGGGCTCCGGTTTATACCCAAGATCTCTCAGAGGATGGTAAACAACTCTTCTACACGGAGCTGACATATCAAAATTGTAGCCTTCAAAACTACGACTGTCCTTTGTATTATCAGTAGGAAAAGTAAATGTTTGAGGCGGTTCCTGAGAATCTTTATTGTCACATAAAGCCATTGCTATTGGTCGGTTAAGAACCATTTTTATATAAAGGGATTTTTGAAGGCAGAGGGTGCGTGTTGTTTACTCAAGTGGTTGTTTATCTGGGATATTATTAAAGTGTTAAGTATTCAGGTCCGGTTTCTTCTGCGTCGGAATTAAAATACACTGGTTTGTTTACTAAAAGAAGATACAATTGTATTAGACTTATTTTAAAGTTTTTAATATAAATGTAGTCTAGGCGGGATCTGTTTTGGATTGGACATTTTCCATAGGAAGCTATTTTTTTGCTGGAATCCCTTCAGGATTTGCCCAATATTAATAATCACGATATGCGCCAGTCGCAAACCCTGTGCTAAATTTTTTATTTAACAAAATCTGAAAACAATTGAAAATTTCTCATTTTTTTGCTCTTATTTTCATTTATAATTCGGAAAATAGTGATCCTATAGAAAAAATTATAAGAAGTTAAAAGTTCCGTTATTCAATCTTACACAATATTTTGTTAGCTAGAAATTAAAAATTTAATGGTTATTGTTGAAAAATAGCAATAATTGGAAAAAAAAGTACAAAAAAATGAAGTTAATCCTTTAAATGTTTTCGATTTCCTAAACTTGACTTACAAGTTCCATATTCCGCCTAGAAAAACTTTTTAATACGTTTAAAACGTGTGCTAAATTTTGTTAAGATCGGTCGGATACGTTTTGCATAATAATTTTGCAATCCAGCCTACTGAAAAAAAATCAAATTTTTTTACGTATACAGGAAGTCTCAAACTTTCAAACGCTTTTTGTAAAATTCCAATCGGTTCACTAGGAGAGCCTAATTTTTTTTTATAGTTATAAACAATTTTTAGGCTTATAAACAAATTAAATAACTTTACGAGCTTAAAACATATCAATTTCAAAATGTATACACTTAAAGAACATTAAAAGATGCTTCTTTTAAAAAAGAAAAAGATACATTCGGCTTACTGGTTGCCGAGATATGGAAGGTCAAAGTTGGCATACATTTGCCATGTAACCATAAGTGATAGAGGGCTCGTTTTTAAACAAATACCCTCGTCTTGCCAAATACTTTTTATATGAAAAGTTTTACGTAATGCGCTTCATGGCAACATCCATAAAAAAGACAAAAAAAAAACCGTTTTCGCGTAAAATGTCGCTCGGAATGCATGAGAGGTGGTGGTGAGGGACATTCACATCAAATGTGAATCGGCGAGTATCAAGTAGGGGACCATTAGTTTGTTTAATTTCGGGTTTTGAAATAAAAACAAATAGTAAAGTGCTCCAAAATCTGTAAGGGCTTGTATTGAAGGCGTGCTGTACAAGGCGTGTTTTTCAGTGGTTTTATCATATGTTCAACGCTATTATATAGTAGTTATATTGTCAAATCCGTGTGTTTTAACAGTAAAATATTTTGTATTTTAAAAACTAATAAAAAGTTTATATATTTCGCGTTGCTTTGTGAGGATTGTACAAGCACATCGACTTCATTTTAAGAGAAGTTCTGAAAGGTATAATATATTTTATATTTTTAATTATTTTATATAAAATGATTGACATATTACTACAGATCGAGGATGAAGATATTGAAATGGAAAATGAAGGGTTTGGGGAAGAAATAAGACCTGAAGATTCTTGTCCTTCCAAAAAAAGAAAAAGACTTAAAAAAATTATTGAAGATTGAGTCAAAATAATGTTTATTTATGAAAAGAAATTTTTTTTTTCATTCGCCCTTGTTTTAAAAATTTAAATTATTTATTAACAATTTATAAATACATACTAAAAGTAACAATTTACTTCAATGTATAAATTGCAAGCTCAAAAAAACATGAAGAAAAAATGCAATTACTTGTATAACATGCAAGCCTTCAATACAAGCCCTTACATATCTTGGAGCACTTTACTTTTGTTGTTATTTCAAAACCCGAAATTAAACAAACTGATGGTCCTCTACTTGATACTCGCCGATTCACATTTGAAGTGAATTTCCCTCACCACCACCTCCCATGCATTCAGAGCGACATTTTACGCGAAAACGGTTTTTTATTTGTCTTTTTTATGGATGTTGCCATGAAGCGCATTAGGTAAAACTTCTTATATAAAAAGTATTTGGCAAGACGAGGGTATTTGTTTATAAACGAGCCCTCTATCACTTATGGTTACATGGCAAATGTATGCCAACTTTGACCTTCAATATCTCGGCAACCAGTAAGCCGAATGTATCTTTTTGTTTCTTAAAAGAAGCGTCTTTTAATGTTCTTTAAGTGTATACATTTTGAAATTGATATGTTTAAAGCTCGTAAAGTTATTTAATTTGTTTATAAGCCTAAAAATTGTTTATACTTTTAAAAAAAAATTGTAGGCTCTCCAAGTAAACCGATTTGAATTTTACAAAAATCGTTTAAAAGTTTGAGACTTCCTTTATATGTAAAAAAAATTGCAACTATCTGAGGGCCTTATTTAGGGCCTACTATGAATTTGAAAATTTGCGATTTTTTTCCAGTAGGCTGGATTGCAAAATTATTATGCAAAACCTATCCGACCGATCTTAACAAAATTTAGTACACGTTTTAAACATATTAAAAAGTTTTTCTAGGCGGAATATGGAACTTGTAAGTCAAGTTTAGAAAGTCGAAAACATTTAAAGGATTAACTTCATTTTTTTGTACTTTTTTTTCCAATTATTGCTATTTTTTTAACAATAAACATTAAATTTTGAATTTCTAGCTAACGAAATATTGTGTAAAATTAAATAACGAAACTTTTAACTTCTTATAATTTTTTCTCTAAGATCAATATTTTTCGAATTATAAATGAAAATAAGAGCAAAAAAATGAGAAATTTTCAATTGTTTTCAGATTTTGTTAAATAAAAAATTTAGCACAGGGTTTGCGACAGGCGCATATCGTGATTATCGATACTGGGCGTATCCTGAAGAAATTGCAGCAAAAAAATAGCTTCCTATGGAAAATTTCCATTATGGTCTGAATTTCTACAGATGCCGCCTAGTCTAATGGAAATATTATCAACTCAACAAAAATTTTAAAGTAAGAGAAAAAATATAAAATAAAATTTGATGCCACACTTAGTTTGTAATATTGATACAACAGTTTGTATAACACGGCTGATACCTCAGATAAATAATTTTTTGTTCAATATTTGTTAAAATTTGTTTCAAACTTTTCAGTTGAGGATTTTCTCAATAAAACAGGATCCATAAAAAGAATTAATGAAGTACTTTGACTCTGTAGACTAATCAGGAAGAATGTATTAAGCAGAAGAAACAGTTATATCATAAATGATTTAATTAAAAATCCTTTATAATAGGTATATATTTTAGGCCCAAACGGGCTAAGTTAAAAAGACAAAACGTTTTCGGAAACCATGTTCCATCATCAGTGTCTAGTAGTACATGAATGTAGCCACCAAGACTACATGACACCATGTACTCCTAGACACTGATGATGGAACATGGTTTCCGAAAACGTTTTGTCTTTTTAACTTAGCCCGTTTGGGCCTAAAATATATATCTATTATAAAGGATTTTTAATTAAATTTTTAATACATGGTATACAGCCAACTACAGGAACGTAGATTCCTTGTGGATATCATAAATGGTTAAGCTCAAAAGAACAAGTGGACCTAGGAAGATACAGAGAGAAGAACAAAGAGGTAAAAAGATTAATAACAAAAGATAAAAATGATAACTGGGAATCAACATGTATGAACAACCAACAATACATAGGAGGTATTGAACAAATACTCTGAGGAGTATTAAAACAAATAAAAAATAATAAGTCTGCAGTCCCCGGAGAAATAGCACCCGAGCTGATTAAATACGGCTCTCAAAAATTGTTCCGTATGATACATACCATGTTTAAGATTGCCTTGGACACCGAACAACAACCTGAAGAATGGCCGACAGCCCGTATTATCTCTATTTTCAAAAAAGGGGATAAAAGAAAATGTGAAAAGTACAGAGGCTTAAGCATCTATAGGAAGATTATAATGGAAAAATAATAAAGGAAAAAATAGAAAAACAAATCTAAAATAAAATAGAGGACGACCAGGCAGGTTTTACAGCTAAGAAATCATGTGTTGACCACATCTATACTATACAACAGCTAATAGAGAAGAAGATGACAAAGAACAGACCAGTCTTAGCCTTTATTGACCTAAAAAAGGCGTACGACTCTGTGCCCAGACAACGACTGTGGAAAGCCATGCAACAAATAGGAGTAGAAGATAAGCTGATCCATGTAGTGAAGTCCATGTACACACATAATAATGTTACAGTCAAGGTAGGTAACAAGTTTGGAAAACCATTTAAAACCACGAAAGGTCTCCTACAGAGCTGCTCGACTTCACCTACACTCTTTAAAATATTTCTTCAATACGCCCTAAAGCTCTGGAAAAGGAAATGTGAGGGAATGGCAGTACCCATAAGGAACGACCATCTGTATACCCTCAGCTTCGCCGACGATCAGGTCATAATAGCACAAGACGAGGAAGTTAATGGTTCGAAAACTAGAAAAATATAATATAAATGACCTGGAAATAAACATTAATAAAACAGAATATCTGAACACAACACAAGAACCAACAAAAAACCTGGAAGTGGATAACGGGGGTGAAATAAAGGGGACCGATAAATTTAAATACCTGGTGTTCATTATACCAAATAAAAGTACTACATAAATTGCGTTAGGCTTTCACGGCCATCGTCTAACTTATTAAACTGCTTATTCGGGCTGTTGGGCCGTTGTCTTCTGTTGAGATTAGTTCTCGACGTTTCGCCAACACTAGGGGTTGGCATCTTCTGGAGATGTTGATGCTTCGCTTGTAAGTTGTCAGTTTCTGCTTACAAGCGAAGCATTAACATCTCCAGAAGATGCCAACCCCTAGTGTTGGCGAAACGTCGAGAACTAATCTCAACAGAAGACAACGGCCCAACAGCCCGAATAAACAGTTTAATAAGTTAAAAGTACTACAGAAGAAGAAATTAAAAATCGAGTGGGTCAAACCAGAAACTTTACA